GCTGGTAACTCAAAAATTGCACATTTCACACTGAGACAATTCAATCAGTAATGAATACCCTGAGGAGAATGCTTTTCAAACTCTCCTCCCTCCAAAAATATAGAAATCTGAATCAGTAGAAATGAAAAACGACAACATTTGTAAGTCTTCCTTATTGCAAGCACGTGTACAATTTGCAAATTCGATAATGCTCCCTGTTTCAATATTTGTTGAATGACATAGCTTGACAAAAAGTTGTCTTTCTGTTTGGTTGTATGCCATATTTCATACTAGAAGTGGATTTTCACAGTTTTGTCATATTCTCAGGAATTCATACTCCCTCATGTATAATTTCAACTCCTTTTTTTTGTACCTTTAGTTAAGGCAAGGAAAGTGCAAAATAAAACAACTGTTGTTTCTATCTGTATTGGATGCACCAAAAATTAATTCAAGAAAGAGAAATCCTTCGCCAAAAATTAGCTTCAGTGACCAATGACCAATCTTGTACCCAACAGAAGTACATGTATTACCATACAGGCATTGTTAAATCACTTCCAATTATCTTTAGCTCAACATAACTGGCTCCCACAAAAACATTTGGATCGATGCTGAAGAATATCAGCAAGCACTAAATGTTCCAAGGATTCTATAGCATTGTGTAAATTTCTTGGATTGAGATGTTTTCCAAAAATATTCTTTGATGAAAGTTAGAATGAAGAAAGTCTGAGTGGTGCAGCCATGATTTTGGTCCGATTTTGGTTGATAAATGAAATGAAATATGTAAAAAAAGACTCCTGATAATTCGTTCCAGAAGGGATCACAATTTTTGTGCTGGTAGGAAACATGCAAACCCAAAGCAAACATCTCCTGAATGAACAAGCTTACTTTTGTGAGAGCCAAGTTATCTTGATGATGACTCAATAATAAAGTATGAATTGGACAACACCTTCAGGCAGTCAACATCAGAACTCCAATTTTGATCGACACCAACAGAAACTTCTCCATTTTTCCCAAGTGATTCAGAGAGTGATGTCCACGACGTATTTTACAGAAAGGGGTAAAGACATGAAGCCAATGTTGGATTCTGATACAAGAAAGAATGAAAGAAAAACATTGAAAGTCTTCAGGGAAGTTGTTGACTGCCTTTCAGGTGAATGTCTTTCCATCTCAAGCTGTGTCTAATACTCCACCTCTCCTGCCCTTGGCTGCCCTGAAATTTGGTAACCATTTTCTGATTTTTAACTCCTTTTTGATTGGAAGAAGTCTGCCAGACAGTCTACATTTAATTCTGATTAACTGTAAGGTACATGTAGCAGTTTGTCTCAGTTCGTGATTACATAGGGATCATTAACTAGGAAAGAATAAATGCAAAGGCTTTGGCCAGTTTGTAAGGATCATCCGTCAAGCACTTGGCTTAGAGTAGGCCTATCAAAGGATGATTTCTGTCAACCAAGAAAACCTTCAGTGATCCTAAAGACACTCAAGACAGGAGAGGTCAAGTGCTCTTTGACATATTCTAAGAGTTCAAGTTCCATGCTGTGTTTGAGTGTCCATGGCGGTATGTGCCTCAAATTGCCAAGAGTCAGTTCATTTATGGCATTCATGTCATCACATCCCAGTAGGCTGTGGCAGCAGACATCCCTAGCATCTCCTTAGCAACTGTTGCATCTCCCAAACACACTTTGTTCCTTCCTTGGAGCAAGTCATGGTACAGATCATCCATCAAACCAATGTCTCAAAGGGCTTATCAGCGAACTTGGTCCTTTTCAATCCGGCTTGGAATATGTCATGGTCATGGCTAGAGGGCAGCCGTGGGGAACAGTGAATCTAACATGGGCTTCTGACAGACGAGATGCGTTCAAAGCTGAGCTCATCTGCACGGTCACTTAATAGACGTGGGAGACCTGTAGAAACCACTCAGTACATCCCGTGAGAGTTAACATCAGACAAACTGTGCAACAAAGGCTTATGCGGGGATGCTCCTTTACTTGCTGGATAGGTCTCCAGGTCTCAGCAAGTGCGTGCTTCTCCATCTTGCTCAATCTCAGACATGAAGGGGTTGATCTTGGCTGACATTGCATCCTTCTATACTTAGCGTGGATGGCTCTTGCATAATTCAATTTGGTAGATGCATCATGATAAAGACATCACAAGGCAAGCTGAATCAGGCACATATATGAATGCACAAACAAGTACGTGTCACAGCATTCATTTTGAAGCTGAAACTCCTCTGTGAGTGACTGGCATCAATTAACAGTACACCAAACTTGACAGAATAGATGTATTTTTATATATATATAAATAATTGACAGAATAGGATCTGCCTATGCAAATCAAGTTGATTCCTTTATCATGTCCACTTCTGAGTGTCCTGCCACTGGCAGCAAAACAGGGATGGTCCATCAGTACTGCAGGCAACAAATGACTGTTTCCTGTTGGCAAACTTGTAGGACAAGCAGGACAAAGGGTCTGAATGTCTGCCCTATTTAGTTTGCTTCAAAATGTGCATGTTCATACTATTCAATGTCCAAACTGTGGAGTGGCAATCGATGCTGGGTGCAGAAACAAAGTGTCCATAATCCACAATGGTAAATCAGTAGTGGTAGTCAGGGACCTGTAGTCACATCAAGCAACTGTCATGCATATCTCTTAAGTCAGGTGACATTTTGGGCCAAGAGTGACCTTCAGCAACTTGTAGCGACCTCAGGCAACTGGTTGCATTGGGCTGCAGTGACTCCACCAGTGTCTCTGAAGAATTCCTTCTTGAATGTTGATACATGTACATGTACGTCAACACTGTGGCAAGAGTTCTGTGTATGTATAAATATGAAAGCAATGAGAATATGAACAACAAATGAAAAATAATTAACGAAAGCTGTCTGCTACCCTGAATAGACGTATTACCCGCGTGGTGCAAGTATTTGGTGCCCCGATTTACAGCTTTTAAGCACAATTGTACAATACCAGGATTGCTGTATTAAAGGTGCAGCTTGTTTGATTGATAGACCGTAACCCAAAAGAAACCTCCTTAGATATCACAATACTATTAGGCACAATTCATTGGGTGTTTGAACAGTTGGAATTCATTTTTTTGCGGTATAAAAGCTCACTGAGCTGAAAGTTGAGTTTACATGAAAAGAAACACTAAACAGATTTTGACTGCTTATTGGAAAACAATGATGTAACAAGTAGAAACATTCATGTGGGATAACAAAATGGCTGTGAATCTCACCTTGCAAAGCTGGTTCTGTGACACTGATCAACTGTGCATTACAGAGACACTTGCACATCATGGCTATTTTTCCATTCTAGCACTGAGTAGGTGTCTGTGTGATTTGTGGAAAAAGAAGAAGAATCGTATTTTTCACTTTTGTACATACATGTATACCATTGAGAGAGAGAGAGAGCAAGGAAAGCTGTCACTTGGTGTGAAGGAAGAATTACGACTCTTTCTAATGGGTTCACATTCAATTCACCTGGATCAGCAGGCAGGAGTTTTACTAGACCCCCCACAATGAACTGAAATAACATGCACCATCTTGTCCACAGGCCAAGAAAACAGTGTACATGTACATTGCACTGCTAGACACGAGTGCATATTGATAAGATGACTTTGAAGTGCAAGTTTGTGATTAACACATGTGTTCTTTTTGCTTTGTAAAAAGGATGGCACATACATGTACATGTGGTCCTACATGTACATGTATAACCTTGAAACCGTTAACTGCATGTACATCCATGCTTCACATTGGGAAGATTTTTCTTCAATTAGGGTTAATTAATATCCCCATCTACATGAACAATTCCAAGTCACTACTCCATGTGACTTGGAACTATTGTTATTTACATGGAGTCATAACACTGTGTTTTTAATCGAGCCTTTGAGGTAAATGATTCGGTGACGCAAATTCCGCTTTTTCAATCAAATCTTCCCCAAGAGAGAAACCATGAGGTATTTACAGCTCTTGAAAATACTGTAACAGAGGTTTCAGACCATGAAACCAATTCTTTTTTTGAAAAATCTTAGATTTTTATTCACTAACCTCTCGTTTCTAACTGACAACGATTGCACTGTTTGTGTTCATCCAACTGCACATGTATTGGGCCAATAGCCAGCTAGGCTTGCTCTGCATGTCAGTCTCACCATCTTCTGTCACAGCCAGTGTTCCAGCTGGGATCATTTTAGTGCTGGGTGCAGTTTTGGATTGCGAAGCACAGTGAGCGTAGCTCTCGCGGCTCATAGCCAGACTGGAATTGTGCCCTCTATTGATACTGCTGTTTGGCTGGTCTTGAGCCAAGACTATGAACATGTGTTCGCTGCTTCAGAGGAGGCTACATTATATCCCATACATGTAATTTCACATCTTACGGGTCTTGTAACAATGCTTGCTACCGGCAGACGTTCTCAATGCTTTTTGATCCTTGAAATACCATCAAATTGATACATATTCAGTAATATTTCAGGTCATTTTTTGAAAATCTGTGCTGGGCAGCACAGCCAATTTGAACTCGAAAGCCAGGAGAAAATTCACAGTACTAGGTGGTACCACCCGGTGCCGCCTTCCGCTGCTAGAACACTGGTCACAATTGCACAATGTAGTGCATATCACATGTCCTGATGGTCATGTATTAGCTTACAAGTCAACAACAAGGACCGCCATGCATTGAAAACAAGATGCCACCCCCCCCAATGGCTGGACCAACATGTGGAGACACATGCGCAATATAATAAACACAAACAGTCTGATTGATCATTGGGTGGAAATGAGAAATCGGTGGGTAACAAATTCAGATTAAAAAAAAAATGGTCTCATGGTCTGAAACCTTTATTACACCATTTTCAAGAGTTTAGGTAGCTCGTGGTTGCTGTGAGGGGAAAATTTGATTGAAAAAGCTGAATTTGTTTCACCAGATCATTTACCTCAAAGGCTCTCTTAAATAAACACATCACATACATGTAGTGTAATGACCACATGTAAACAACAATGGCTCCATGTTACACTGAGCAGTGCTTAAGGTTCTTCAAGTAACCCTCAACAGAACTGGTCAGGAACACCAAAGTTTTTGACAGTAACTATCCAGTTGTATTCAGAACTTTATAAATGCTTGGCACAATCTGTCATTCCAAGATTTATTTCAGTAAAACTCGTGACAAATTGTGCAGAAAGTTACACTTTCATTCACCGTACTGTCAGACAGTCATGACAGTGCCTAAGACAGAAAAACGGATCTTTCTTCCCCTGTATTGCATGAAGTTTTCCTGATGAAAGTCTTAAAATTAAAGGTGATCCCAAACATTTATATAATTCTGCAAGCAACTGGTTAGTCTTTTCTGACCTTGTATTCTTTTCTTCGTGAAACTAAGTCCAGATAGCCTAGACAAGGAGGATTCCTTTCTTAGTGGTCCAGTTATCATGCGAGGCGCAAAATAATAGCGCAGCCCAATCGGCAGACGGGATCGACGGACCACGTGCATAACGTGCCCCGTCCGAAAACTGGCCCACAACAAGATTCACACGAAACTAAAAGAATATCTGACGACTCAAGGAAAATTTAAAACATACCTTGACGTTCTATCAGTTGTCCTGCTGGAGTGCTGTATAAACCGTGATTGAAAAGATTCAACAAGGGCAGCAAAAGTTTGAAAATACTAAGAAAAATCTTAGGCAACACGCACCCGTGCATCTCTTTTAAAAATGGCGGAAAATGGAGGTTTGTTTGTTTGTTCATGTTGAAATGGCGCAAATCCACAAAGCCAGAATATGTACTCCACTAATGCAACAGTGGATTAACGTACGAAACAAACGTAGTTTTTTTTTGAAAAAATAAAATATAAACCCAAGGGACGTAAATCGCATACTCTTTATGACATTTTAATCTTGAGCTTATCAAAGTTTTAAACTGGCTTAAAGCAAACGGGTTGTCTCTTAATATTAAAAAGACTAACTACTGTACATGCTGTTCAGTAAAAAGCAGCGTCATGAACTACCAAAAATCCTTATAGACGCACAAATTGATAAAACTGGTTGTATATTGAACAGAACCTCTTATGGAAAAAATTTATAATATTTGCAACACTATTTTAAAAAATATACGAGTTATATGTAAATTCGAGCCTCCTTTCCCTCGGGGTGCATATTATTTAAACTTTACAATATTTTAATTGTACTGTATTTATCATATGGGATATTAGCCTGGGGTAATTGTGGGGTTAGTTTAACCAGTAGAATACTTAAACTGCAAAAATAAAAAGTTTTAAGAATGATCCACTCTGCCACTTACCTTGGACATAGCAGTCCTCTCTTTTGTAAAACTCTCAAAGTAAATGATATATATTCCCTTCAGCTTGGGATCCTCATGCACTCAGATAAACAATGAACAATCACCTAAATCCATCAAAAATGAAGAAATGCACCACCATTTCACCACACAACACAAGAAACTTCATCATACTTACCACTCTCAAACAAAATACAGTCAAGGATGCGGGGCCTATGCTGGGGTGGCATTCTATAAAGAATGTATACGTTCCAATGTAAAATGTAAGGTGAAATTATTAACTGGGTATTTCAATTTTATTCAACTTCATTTAGTTTCTGTGTCTTACAGGGTTATAAGACTTACTGTTTACACGACTTACTGATTTCTTGTCCAGTTTTACGTCATACTTAATGTGTTGTTCGTAATAATGTGCATTAGGCCTATTCCTTAATGGGGTCCCTACTCGACAAGCACTGCTTCTAAGACACCCATGGCACGGGCATGACCAGCCCCCCCCCCGTTTGGTAGGTACTATATTGGGGTGGTGCATAATGGATCAACTTTTTAATGGCTGACGCCTCCCCGTCTTGAGCAACTCCCCCTTCCCGGTCCCCCACTCACACACTTTCAAGCTAGTTCCACCACCGTTGGTTCCAGCCGGTGGCGTAAATTTGCACGTAAAATTGTAAATTAGGGAAGGGGGATGGGGCGGGAATTTATCACATTCAAGCCCAATCTTACTTTAGAATGGCATATTTCCCCCCTTTTTGAGTGATATTGGGTACATTTTGGGTGGATTAAAATACCCAGGATCCTCAGGAAGCGTATCGTGCCACCAATGTTGACCTTGACTGACATTTCCACCCCTTACACGTTCACTACGCACTTGCTTTTCAATTCAGAACCTGCAAACACTTAGGCCCTATAACTGTTCACGATGAAAAATCCACTTGGAATTCTGTTCAACATGTTCATCATGTTACTTGTTGCAATAATCCATTTTGATCACGTACCAACCGTTTTAACAAACGAAAGTCATGCTCACCCGCACCAATCAGGTTAATCACAAATGAATATTACCACCACGGGCTACCAAATCAACTGGGAAGATTCAACATCAATTGTACCCGAAGAGTAGTCCTTCATAATACTCCAGTTGGAGTGGGAGTGTTTCGACTTTCCCGTATTAAAGGCCCGCTGGGGGAACTGATTTGGATGGAGGCAAATTAATTAGGATAGATGGGCTTGGGTTTGGGTAGAAATGCTTTTGAGAAAAAATTGATTTGAAATGATTCCTATGATTCCAATTTCAATGCAATCTGGGTGCGGTGAGGGGTTAGGAAGATTGATTGGACACCAGTGGTTGATGCTGTTATGAAATGATACGCAAGCATGACATCGGTTTCTGAAGAATATTATACCTTCTGATTACTGTTTGCAGCAACTACAGCTCATTATGTGATCAATATGCGTAATAAGCACCGCACAGGCGACACTTGTGTGTGCCTGTCGGGAATCTGCTGTGTTCAGGGAAACGTGTGTCATTGATGTCGGCTATTTGTTGACAGTTGAGATTTCATTTCGTAATAACAAGGAGACAATTGAGAGAAACATCTTTGTAAGCCCATGGGCCTAATAACTGACAACTCATTACAGATAGTCGGCAAAGTTCAATATATCCAATTTTGCCGACTGTCAGCCTCTGTATTGTCACCAGTGGCAATAAAAGATTCCATTTATATGACTGCGTATTAATTGTAACGAATTTCAACAAAGTTTGATTTTGAAGTTCCCAAGTAAATAAAGTGATGTTCTGGCAGTATTTAAGACCGACCATCTTGAGAAAAAACTATCAAAGTAATAAAGGGTTGTTCAAACTTTAAATTTGTTTCTGGTTTACCTTTAGTTTAGGTTATAGTGACAGTTTAAGGTGACAGATGATCAATTAAGAAGACTGCTGCCTAGGAACCAAGCGAAGCAAACACTGTTGCAAAGTACATAGATAATTAGTCAAGGCCCAAATCTTGTTTTACGGACATGTTTTCACCTTTGATCTGAATGGTAGTCTTTGTTTCATAAATCCATAGCATTGTGTACAGTCCGAGTGCAACTTCACAGGCCACACACTTGTTTTTGGGTCTATCTAATTCCTTCCCCCTTTCCAACAGTATGTAAAAGCCACAAAATGTAGTCTCACCTTTCAGAAAGGCCATGACAGGTTAGATGAAAAAACAAATCCGACGATTCACAAGTCAAAGTCACTGGTCATGACAGCCTAATGAAATTTATTTCACAGATAGAAAGTGAGGAGATGGTTCTGATGTCAAAAATCGACCGCTTCTTGTGTTCACAGCTACTGCAGTTTTCTTGAGTGTCATGGCTACGGGGTAAAGTGCTCAAAATAATAGTTGTTGTTGCTTTGGGACAACTGTACATCTGCCACTGGTGTGGTCCTCTTAGGTCAAAAACTAAAACACATTTTAAAAGTGCACAAACCGTTTGAAAAATAACAAGACTGAGTGTCGCCTTTCTTGTTTCTTGTTAAATTGGAATTAACAAAAGACAAGTAAATAAAAAGAAACAAGCAAATAAACAACAAGCATACAAAACTGACAAGAAAATAGTCGGAGAACCTTTAATTGACATATTCATCATGAGCAATGCTACTTGTGTGGATCCAATGTCTAGGACTAGAACAAGAAAACAAAAGGAACAAAAAAGACAACTGGAAAGCTTTCTCAGCCTTAATTGAAATCTGCTAAAGGTTATATATATTCCAAGCATTTGTTATGCATCTGTTCCAAAGATGTGGGCAATATGTATTTATCACAATGTTTAAAAAACGTAATCTGATGCTAACAAATACACACCCTTCACTATATCTTTTGAATAATAATATTGTACACGTACTTGGAAAAAACTCATCCGGTTACCACTTAGTAATAAATCAATATACAAATATATAGATGTAGCTATAAAATACTGCTTACAATAATACCAAATAAAAAAAAATTCTACATCTAGATGATATGATAAGAGAACCTTTCCTTAAATCTTATTATTTAAAACTAAACATAATGCTTTTATTATCCTGAAATAAATGACACATTCCATAATCCATTTTTGTCCACATTACAATGTGACATCACAGGCCACAGCATGACGACATCTAATTCTCAAGTCTCTCTGATGAGGAGAACAAGAATTCCACGCTATGAGTTCAACACATGCGGTATTGTTTCTATCAGTCTTTTCAGAATAAAGACAGCAACTGTCAATAACTGACTCATTGGAAATTATGCAACTGCCAAAAAAGAACATCACTAAAGTATGGTTTGCTTATTCTAGATTTGCATGTCCCTTCATATATGACTGACCAAAATATTATAAAATACTTCAAAATAGCTCAAAGTAAATAGTGCTGAATTTCTTCAGCTACTCAAAATCAATCCCATTAACCCAACTATAGACCTTTTAACTATTTCATTTATGCCTTCATATTTGACTCTGGCACAGTTAGGAATCCAGGTCATATTTAACTCCATACACATTGCCCTGGTGGCCTGTGCCATCATCCAATGGAATGGCACGGGAGAAGGCTGGTCCCGGGTCAACCATCTCAAAGACCTCATTGGTGTGAGCCTCCTCTGAACCAGTCTGGAATGTCATAGTCTTCTTCGATGACTGCCGGCCGCGACGACGACACCAGATGGTCAACACGAGGGCAACGAGGAGAATCATCATCGAGGAACCGACGGCAACGATGGTAACAGACGAGGCAGACAAATTGGCTTCTACAGCTGATTAAAAATAAGCATCGGTAGAAATGTCTCAGTTTACAAATTCCTGATGATCAGGAGCCTGCCACCACGTAATGTTATGGCTGAGACCGTCACAAGACCAAATACCAATTGGTCTACTTTACGGACCCTAGGGCTCATGAGTGACAATCAATGTCCTTTAGCAACCACATGCAATACGACCAATGAGTCGTTATTTCATAGAATTGGAATTTCCCTCAACACTGGTTGAACTGTGTTTTAAGTCACATCGAGCAGCATGCACCGTGCGCAACATTTTCTGTGTCTGATTTTTGTACTCTGCCTGCAGGGCACATACCACCTATATGGCAAGAGGGGTCACAACATGTGCAGGAGAATTGATGACTTAAATCATTGAAAATATTTCTCTCGGTCAATTCGCCTTCCTCAGACCCCTATCAAGCTTTAAAAGCACTAGTTTAAAACAACTCCATTTACAGAAGCTTTAAATCCACAAGCTTCAATCTCAAAGCATGGATGGTTTATCCATTCAGTCAACTATGTCAGTGGTATTTCTGCGAGATACTTTGGTCCTTGCCATATACTTACACATTGCTTCAAGAATTTGTACGCAATAACAATTTCATGGGCAGTCACAGTAAAACCAATATTCAGTTCTAATAAAATCAGTGAAAGCAAATTCCTGCAACACAAAATGTCTGTGAGTTGGAAAACGTCAAACCCAGTGGGATTTTCAGAATTAAAAGAAAGGGAGAGTTGCTACTCACGTCCTGTGGTGACCTTTTTGATGGTGACTCTCAGGGTGCTGTCTGTGGGCGGTTCCTTGGTAGCTGGTCTCGGACCCAGGTAGACTACACTGGTGATGTTGACGGGCAGCGATGGGTCAGATATGTGTAGACTCAGCCCTTCGTACACTGACAGGGCCAGAGCATCTGCAGGCGTCATGCCGTCTTCAGAAACAGGGGCGGCAGAGCCGGTACTAGGAGAACCACTCTCCTTACATAAGGCAGAAGAGAAAGGCAGTGAGAATTAAACAAATATTCTGTGAGAAACATAACCTACAATGCACTTCCTGTATAATATATATCTCCATTGATGTCGGCAGGATGATTTTTTTGGGGGGGTTGGAAGGTTGGCAAAGCACTCATTGGCAAAAAATAATAACACTTTTTTTCCCAGCAAACTGGCCAATTTCCATCATATTCTTCTTCCTTTTTATATTGTTTGATTTGGCTTTTTTTTCATTTTCCATTTCTTGTCGGGGGGGGGAGTGCTCATTGAGAGCAAAACATGAAAGAATAGTTAGTGGCCGCAGAGGCCTTTGACAATGTTCCTTTTTGGCATTAATAGGTGTGACAAGGAGGTATCAACAAGGAAGCGTGTCTGTGGCAGTCAATACAATTTTTCTAAATCTCTTGCTCTAATGTGACATTTTTCAGGTTAGGTCAGTACCAACTTTGTTGGAGTATTTAACATTTGAATGGAAGCTTTTTGGACTCACCAGGAAGATGTCCACGAGCACTGTGTCGTCCGACGCTGCTCGCTTCTTGCGAGCTTCACGGCGAATGGAGCATTCAAAGGTGAAGCAATCAGCGACTGAGACAATTTCTGCGGCAGCAATGAGGCTGTCACAGAGTTGGGTCAGGGTGGTACTCTGTTGCGTAATAAACAACAAACAAGGAAACACATTTCAATCTTGCATTTCAAACTGTCAGTTGGAAAATATGTTTATTGAATTAGTTTTTGGAGAGAAGGGTAAAGGTTAGTTCATGCTTAAGGCAAACGTCAAACACGAGCTAATTTGACTCAGGGGGACATTTGCAGCAAAATGTGCTTGAGTCCAAATGTGTTCAACTTCTGCTAATTCACAGTGCGAGTATTTGATTTGATGCCACAAACTCGCATTTGTGTTCACATGAAATGTGAACCGGTCTTAAATCTGAGAATGACATACAGGTATGATGGAGGCCAGCTCAGCGGAGACGGTCACTTCCGAACAGAAGGGGTTCTCGGCACAGTCGGCATGAATGGTTCCCACGTCGCAGTACATGCCACTGCAAGGCTCAGTCACGCAAAGGGGAACCTGGTCAGACGGCACGCAGGTGGAACTGGCCGGGCAGTGGCTGTCTTCCGTGCAAGAGATCGGCTTAGAAGCATTCTTAGGGGCACAAGAGAGTTAGACATTGGTTTGATTTGATCTGTCCTGTTACATTTCAAATACGTCAGTTGAGCAGATGATGACACTGACAATAAATCTGTTTTGCCTGGTGCTGCAACATTACATGTACCAACGATGTATTTACACTGGACGTGTACAAAACACACACAAAAACAACAAAGTTATGAGGTTTAAAGACAGGCATAGACAAACTCAACAAGATAGACCTATACTAGCCTGAGCCACTTGATTTCAAGTGCTGCAGTTTAGGCCATCACAAGTCTATCACTTGTCATCGAGTTTTAAGCCGAGTCACAAGCTTTCTGAATTAAATGAGAGCTTTCCATGGTTTACCCTGTCACTTGTGAAGGACTTGTGATGGATTCAACAATGCTGATTTAAACTTTATTTTTCTGGAAGCAAAATGTTTCATCTGATCAACTGGGCTGAAGCACCCCTAGGACATACCAAGGAGCATTTGATGACAGCTCCGGCCGCGCAGTTACACTCATCACATTTACCATACTCCCAGGTGCTCCCACTGGGTCTGGTCTCGCTGCCGTCCCAGCAAACTGGTGTGTCTGGAAGATCCACAAATTCTGACAAAAAAGGAGGACAAATACAAATGCGAATCAATCACTCAGCTCCAGTAATCAACAGCTCCGGTATTCTCACCAATTTTGGAATCGATTCTGATTTCATCAAGGAATCACAATTCTGCTTGCAATCAGTTCTTGTCACTGGCAAATGTTGCATTCATAATGGTGAATCACCCAATGAAATATATCAACCAGGCATTAAATCTATTCGCATTTGAAAATTGTTTTTGTAGAAGCAAATAATTTAAAGAAATCAGACGTAGCCCTTTTTGTATTTGTAAAGTGCTTTCTGGTACCTAATCACGGGGATATAAAACCAATCGCTACAGAGATCCCAATTCTCATTAAGTGGAGTCGTGATTCCGATTCCACATCCGGAACCGAGTCTAATCAATTCTTGCACAGAATTTCCCAAAGACTACCATGTGCGTATTTGTCCATCATCATTTGAACGCCTGTGCTTCAACATGCCTGGTACCCCTGTGAAAGCCTGAAGATTGGCTCACTTTCAACTTGCACTCATTCTGTGCTATACTTGTGTGCAAAACAACACGCAGGCAGATGTGACTGCTAGGGAGCAAAGCCTCCTCTGTTTAAGCACGCAGTCCGTGGGCTAGTAAATGAAATCTGCACTACTTCTGAAGTATTCCAGTCACTCAGTGTTGGCATTACTGTTGGTTGTAAACATAAACTAACAGAAGATCCTGTTTGCGCTTGCTTGAGCCCCAGGACGGAGGATTTTTTTTTGTGGTCCTTTACAGTGTCTTGGGCAGTGTTGCGGTCTATCACAGAGTCCTTTCAATGTCCTTTCACAAGTCCTATTAAAAGCCGAATTTCCAAGACTGCTCATACGTAACACAGTGGGCAATGCCAAAGGAATGCTTTTGTAACAGCTCATTTGAAAAGCTTGCGACTTGGCTTTGAGACTGGATGACTTTCATGGACTTATTACAGGGACTTGTGATAGCCTCAACGACAACACACTGGCCATGCCACATAAGCACGCATTACCACCCTCAGTGACAGATCTAGGTTAATTAAACATAAAAATACAAGTTTCGGATAGGGGCCAGGGCTCCGTGTGTTCCATTGTTGTCCTGTATTTCGATGATCCTGAATCTGCCTGACTGCCCTCAACACCTATCCATGTGATATAAACTTCACAAAGGCACCAGCCTGACAAGCTCTCACACTTTTCATGTGTTATACCTTAGTTTGAGGTGCCTACCTGCTTCCAACATGGCATGCCAGCCGTGAGCGTTCACTTGGTCGTCAGTCACAAAGTACATCCACACGGCATCTCCCTCGATGTAAACGGGCCCGGGTGACGTGTAGCCATCCAGTCGGTATATTACCCCCTGCAGGGTGGACAGGGGACCTTGATTCAGGCCCAGGGGGTACTGGAAGCCCGGACCAAGGTACAGGTAGTCCCTCCCGGTCTCCACCTGAAACGCCTCCGGGAAGGTCACGTTGATGTAGCGGGCACCCGGCACCCAGAGCTGGTAGAAACCCTTCCAGGAATTTGGGTAGGGCTGTGAGTAATTCGGGGATTTGAACCAGGTGGAGGCGCAGTCGGCACCATAACATGCGTACCGGGCGTCGTATTCTGTGTTGCAACAAAGAATGCATGTAAAAGCTTACAGAGATTTCTGTCTTTTTCTATGCCGGGAATGACCGCCTCACACTGAGCATAGCAGATCAATGTCACAAGTTTACCAAAGAAATGAGACAAGGGAAAATAGAAATTTCATACAAAGACCAGGCTTTTGAAACTTATGAAGTGAAAACAGATTCTTCACAAGGAGCTTTTTCAAGAGATTTCACCTCCAGTCAAGAGGAAACTTGAGAGAGGCAATCAAACTGTCTCTGTAACAACCAAGAGTGGGTGATAATTCCATTCAAATGCTATCATTTTCTTCCTGAATCCTAACAGACCTCAATCCTCCAGTTTCAATATGAATTTACATCCCCCCAGGGGGTTTAGGATTAAACTGTGTGGCATGGCTGCAACTACAGAGTTAATTAAAGTACACGAGTGTGTCAGACCTACCTGCTTGGACATCACAGTTCTGGCCCATCCTGTTGTTGTCGGCGCACTCACAGACGTAGTTTGGGCTACCGCCCATTCGCCTCAGACACTGTGAGCCTTCTGCACAAGGACTGTCAGCACACTCTGTGTGAAGAAATATGCGCCAACATCTTCAGCATGGTACGACAGAATTTCCATCACATCCTTGAAGGGTATCAATGCTAGGAGATGATATTCACCCTAAGAGGTGGAGTTTTAGCCAGGACAGGGCAGGAGGTGATACAACTCATCTCTAAGGCCATAGCTGTCCCATGCCTGATCTTCATTCATTTTGATGGCAAAATTGAAGGTTTAATTCAGTCATTGTATGCTTTTGGTGTTTGGGCAATTGTTGTTCTACCTATCTCAGAAAAAAAATGGACACCTGCGGATATAACTGGTCTGATTTTTACAAAATTGGTGTCAAAATAATTGTAAGACATTATTCAATGGGCTTGGGCAAAAGAATGCATTGCGACAAAACTAGAAAAAATGTCTCAAGGCAGCTAAGATTCTGTCCCCAACCTCTTTTAGGATTAATTGCACGTGTGTGCACTGGTGCACAAATAAGGCCTGAGGGCCATTCAGAAATCAGGAATATACTTGAAAATGTGTACCTTGTGCAGGATTTGAAGGTGTTTAGTATTCGTAGGTATTTGCTAAAAAAGAGTAATTTAAATTACCTTCAAAGACGCAATCTTGACCATTGCCAACAAATCCCTCATCACAGACACACTTTTGGATGCCATTGACTTCAGTGCATGTGGCATTCTCGTGGCATGCAGCAGGGGAGCACACAACCTCGCCAAACGCATCGGAGCAGGTGCATCGCATGGTACAGGAATTGGTGTAGTAATCGTCATTCAACTGCAAGGCAAGCAGCGTCCAAAGGGCAACAACATTGTGAGCATGGACAAATTCAAAACTTGACTTATGCCTCAAACCACTGAGACCAGATGAATATATGTTGCTTCGCGTGAGTAATTGAGTATTGTATAAAATACCCTTGCCAGAGGATATGGTACACAGATGAAGTTGATCGTCTCAAGGCTTGAAATGATAAAGGGAGCCTTGTTACCTGGCAAGGACGTCTATTTGGAATTGAAAAACTGCCACAAGGGGTACACTTTAGTATATGAGTTACTGACAGCTGACAGTGTGTGAGGTCATTATTACTGACACCATGCTAGCCATCTCCCCCTCCCCTCCCCCACCCCCAATAACACACAGGGTGTCAGTTTGTGGTATCAGTGTGGATGCATGGCCTTGGATGAGATAGCTTCAATATCATGGACAAAATTAATGTATGCATTCCTTGAAACAAAGTCCAGGGCAAAATCATTTCCAGAAAAAGTAGTCTCGTGACAGAGCGAACAACGGTTGGCAAGGAGCTGGACTAAGTTCTGCTGACACAGTGACCTATGGTCCCTGTCTCAGGTGCCTGTGGCTTGTTAATCTACTGGGTATTGGATATCTATTCATTGTTATACAACAAGGCATCAAAGAAGCAGGAAAAATGGAAAAGTGACTGGGTTAAACTTGGTAAGACAAAGAAAATGACTGGAGTGAAATTTTATTCTGAGACTTCAAAACCCTCGGAAGCTTGCAAGACCGACACATATATTGCTGCAAATGTAGGAAATGACAGTCAGTGAGGAATCACTCCAAAGGACTCTGCCTCTCTGACGCAATTTTAAACCTCCTTACTGAAGTACAAAAGGCTAAGGAGAGATTAGTTAGATGTTCATTTGTGTCTTACCCGGAGATATTTCTGTTCATTATCATACTGACAACCGCACTGACTTCGAGGTACGCATTCATCACCATCCTGGTAGAAACCTTCTCGACAGGTGCACCCCTCGGCACAGCGCAAGTTGCAGGGGGATATGTCTCCATCAGGGTCGCGACAGGTCGCAGGGCAGGGGTCAGCGCACAGGGAGTACTCTGCATTCCGCGGGCAATCTTGCGCTATTTGACACGAGAGAGGTCAAGAAAAACAGGTGCTCTGAACATCCTGAAATCAGATACTTGGATTGAAAATGAAAAAATAACAGAAACAAAAACAAACCAAAACTAAACCGTACGATTTTAAATTAAAACTTTTCTAACAAAGCTGTATATGTGATCGGCTCTAGGAAAATGAGTAATAAGTTCCCGGATTCAGGTTATGAGTTTTTGATATGGCTGGATTCTGTACATCAAAAGCTACAATTTGAAATATGAATGACCCCTGTAGTGCACTGCGTTCCGGAGATATATGGACATTTGTATATCAAGTTTTCAGATACAACACAAGCACTTTTCGAGAAAAAGCTCCTAATGTGTAGTGCTTGGAAACCCAATGCTATGTAGGATTTCCTACTGACTGATCCATTTTTCATCTTTATTCATCAGTGTCCATGTTTGTAGTCACGAATTCTGAACATAGAAATGTTATTGAAGCTATTTAAAGAAATGTTGCCCTCTCCAAATAGAACAGGCTATAACATGTTTTGGCATTGCGTGACTTATTACCTTTTTTGCAGAGCGGGTCACATATATCATGTTATATATTTTCAATCATGTAATATTTTATCTGACCTTTTTTCCCTTACATTTTATTTTTTACAAATTGTGCACCAAAAAAATGAGTGCTTAAAGACCACTACATGATGCAGCACAGCTGCTTTGTACTTGTAGAATTCAGCTCAAAAAGAAAAGAAAAGATCAGAAAAATGCAATGATAAGTAAAATGAATTTGTTGAAAAAAGCTTACATCAATGTCACTGTAATAAACGATTTGCCTAGGACTTACTGCAGGAGATTGCACTTCTCCATTCACTGACAGCGTGACCCAGGTCCTGGCACAGCTGTGCGTAGGTAGCAACCACTCCACAAGCAATGGGCAGAGCCAGGCTTGGGTCGACCAGCACCGCTGCACAGACATCGTACCTGCAAGCCGCATAGAACTCAGCCGATGATGCTGAACAGCCTTGGAATGGGAAGTTATCTGACGGAAAATAAACGCAGTGAAAATTCTCATTTTATCTTAACATGACACACTCTTTGACGCCGGCTTTTTGTTGATGTTTTCTTGACTTTTCCTCTTCCCTTTGTTACATTTTTCATGCCTCCGACAAGTTCACTGAAGAATACTTCCGTTGGCAAGTGAATGACAAGTGACGAGCTTTTATAAGGATGACTCACCCCTGGAATCAAGCAGCGGTGAGCACACCGTATCAGCAAATTCAGTATCAAAAGCATTGTCACACTGGTTAGGTTGCTCTGTTGCATTGGCTGGACAGGGTAGGTTCCCAACAACCTGACGATTGCCAAAGCTTACTGCTGTATCAACCTAGAAGGAAACCGGTGAAAAGAGCCAAAGCTTCAGACACAAAGAAAGCAATCAAATTATACGGCCGTGTTAGCAGGCAAATAGGCACTGCTGTCTTTGGCTATGGCTATTTAGTGCAGCCTGTCAAGGGCAAAAACTAAAGCCATAGCCACAAAATGTCAAATTTAACCATAGCCTTAGAGTTACCCATTCTCACAATAGCTACAACGAAAGCACCAACTTGTATACCCTGCTAATGGTGGACATTTCCTCTTTCCCAAAAATGTATAGCATACTTAAGTGACAGTAGACTGACCTTGACATAAATATATATTAAAAATACCATGTGCTTGAATTCTCTTAAAGACTGGAAGGTGGTGTGGTTAGATATTTATAAGTTGGGTTCTTTTACGTGTGATAACGTTAAAAATGACAAAATTTGTTGTTTGCCTGATGCAGTATGATGACTTGTTGTTGTGTATAAAGTGTAAATCAACACCCTACCGTCTGTTCATTTCCATCATCAAAATCATCATCGGTGTTATTGTTAGCATTGCCACAGAGACCACAGAACTGAGTGGATCCAATCACGGCAGTCAGCTCAATGTCTGCACTGTATTGGCCATCCCATTTCAGATCAAACTGGTCAGGGATTTTTACAACCTGCAGAAACAAGGGAAAGCATCTTCATCAATGAATCTACGTGGCTGTCAGACAGGATGCATTTTGTCACAAGTTTTTGAATGAATTCAACAAATTTTTGTTTGGGCAAAAATCTTTTGAATATTGAGGATTTTCTTCAGAACCGAAACAGTTTCAAAAGAGTTTACATATGACAGCCATACATATATTTTGCAAACAGAGGTACTTTAAAAGTACCTCTGCACTCAGATTGAGAGAAAATCCAAATTCTAAAAAATTGCTAATCAAATAAAAAAAAACCTTACAATGTAATTGCCCACACGACGGATCTCTACAACAGGAGTTGCATTAAAAGGTGGTGTCTGGACAACATCACTGACAACCACACCTACATCCGGAACCAGCTTAATCTCCTACAAACCAAGAAGAAGCAAATAATAAAATGGCAACATTGGGTGAAAGGGTTACCTCAAAAACTATATAAAAATGGTACTGGCCAATTCATCCCTTGACATTTAGTTAGTTAACCTATCTACCTTCAGCAGAAGCACCCCCTCATTGGTTGAAAAGAGCCATACTGGTCAGGAGTGTTCGTTTCATTGGTAGTGATGTGTGTCATGCACGCAACATGTGCAGTTCATACTCATTTGAGAACCAGCAAAAAAGGAGCCTGCATTGGTAGGATACTTGCACCTTCTTTTGGTCAAGTTTGGGGCTCATACAGAACGTGTGGTTCCAGAACCAATTTTTCTTTTGATGAGAGCAAGACAGTAAAAATAAAAACATTCAGTTCTCCGATAATCTCTCGTTAACTCAGTATAACTTCAGTCCATCGGTGCATTCAATGTGATCTGATTTACTCCAACATTTGACGCTGTCCTTACCGTGCCCCCATAATTGATGATCAGCTCTTTCATGGTGGTGTAGGCCGAGCTGCCCACTCTCTGATTGACCTGAATCACGGAGGTTGTCGAATCAGCCTCGCAGAGCCGGAAGAGGTAGTACGAGCACTCGCCCATGAAGTCAAAATACTTGCCGTCAAAGGTACGGTAGTGGGGATCCCCATAGGTCAGGCAGTACAACGTTTCTGGTCAAAGAGAACGGCATGAGCTGTAAGCTTCATAGGACGAAATGTATCTCCCACACCAAATAAAAACAGATGCTATGAATTTCCTCTAATTAAAGAGAGAAAGTCAGGATGGCAAATTACAAAACAAACCACACTGAATCCAGACACGTAGACTGAAATAATTCAACAGCAACGTCGCCCAGAATTAAACTGGCACTTTGAAGTTGACTTGCAGATGGTTAACTTTGGATGAAATTTCAATCAAAATGGGCAAATGATTGGAGCAAACTTTTGCTCTTGATATACGGCCAAAGACTACTAATGCTGACTCACTACAGCCATTTGAACAACATTTGTACGTCACTTAATGCCACTGCCTACTTTTCAAACCTCTAGGGCCACACACCTATCAAGCAATCTTTGCTTCCACAAGAAAAAGTGCACAGTCGCTAAGTTCAAATTTAACACACGGTCCACTTCCACCGACTTTTCAGACTATGTGGGTGCAAACCGAATGTCAGTCGGAGATCAATCGGGGTGTCCGTGGCAGTTTAACCTGTCAGCCGTGCCTGCGTGCACACGGACGGCTGTCTACACAAGCAAGACTTCCTAGCACACGGCCGGCTGTCTACACAAGCAAGACTTCCCAGCATGACTGCATATCATTTAGGAAGTAGAAACGGCAATTGATAAGTTTACCTTGCATGCAGTTCGTTCCAGTCCAGCCCCGCTGGCAGACGCAGGAGTAACTCAAGTTTTCCTCCACAATGCATGTTCCACCATTCTGGCACGGCTTTGCTTCACAAGGACTTGCTGTATTGGACAGAGAACACAAGACAACATGTATTTGAAAAGGATGTGATTTGAACCGAACCTCAGATACACTGTATGCGGAAGAAGGTCGAAAAAAGACGGTATATTTGAAGTTCATAATTTGAAGTGAATGGAGTATGGATCTGGACCAGATTAATGAACTATGATCCCCTCACAAGAACCTTCAGTCAATCTGAAACCTTGTCAGACACAGACGGTGCTAGCTTTTGCTAAATGAACCTTAGGAACCTGATAAATTATTATTAAACCTGCAGCTTAAACAATCAAAGACATAGGCAAGTCTAACGTTTCATTCTGTGGCAATGGGAAGCCTGCATTTAAAGTATCATCTTCTAGTCTTGCCAGGGAAGAGAGTACAATATCCTTATCCTTCAAGAGCTGCAATGGGTGAAAATATATCAGACCATCGTAAATCACATCAAGCTTAACACATCACCTCCAAATCTAAGTGGCCAAGTGATGCATTCATACACCCAACTTGCTTGAATACAAACACGTTTTATATTCCAGAAATGACATATCTGACAACCTGTTTAAATAATAACCTAGGGCCCAAATCTGACCACCAAAGGTTAGAACCCCAAATGTGCTTACTGTTGCACTCCAAACCATTTCCAATGAGACTGTCGTTGCATACGCACTGCTCCACCCCGTCAATGATCAGACACTGCCCGTCGCTGTGACAGGTGGCATTCGAGCAAATCAGATCTCCATCTGCTCCACAGCTGCAGAGGATTCCGCAGTTGTCAAACATGAAGGTAAAGCCAACCTGGGACAGGCGATGAGAGAATGATGACTAAATTAAGTAAGATTTTAAGCTTAGCTCAAAACAGAGAGACAGAGTGTGAAATAACAGTCTGACATTGGCCAATTTGGGACCATTTTATGGTATCTGTCGGACCCAAAGCAGGTGTGGTTGGAAAAAATGATAGGTAAAAATGTAAACTGCAGGAAAAGACCTCTAGGCCAAAATCCTGTGCGTGTTTTTAGTCTGGTTTTGGTATTTATGACATAAACTGTGAGAGCATTTTCTCATGAGACCACGGTATAAAAATGCCAATAATGACAGAACAAAATTATCATGCCAGCACAAACTAACTTACAACTGGACTTATTGACTTATCACTGGAGTCATACTGCACTTTGGGGGAAGGTAAGCCTACAGTCAAGTGACTTTTTTCTAGTTCATTTTTCACAAACTTCACCACTTTTTGAAAAATAAAAAAAAAATCATCAATTACAAACCTGAATACATTGCTCTGAAGTATCAAAAAGACAGATCCCTGTCATACAAACAAATGTAATGCAACTTTGATGATAATACATACTGGTACGACAGTCAATTGTGATATTTCACTAGGGAGGAGACAACCGCACTCTTCCTTCGGCACGCAGCGGTCGTCGCTCAGGTAGTAGCCTTCATCGCACTCACAGCCATCATTGCAGTACGGGAAACACTGTCGCGGGTCTTGGTACAACAGTTCACCCAGACAAGACGGGGGACAAGACCCGATGCAGGGGGAGAAGTGGGAGTGCTCGGGGCATTCGGAGACTGAAGGAGATCGAGAAGAGGAGAAGGAACAAGACGAGGATGAAATAAAGGTAAGGTCATCAAAACGAGCAAAAGACTTGGAGCTGGAAGCCGAGTCTAGACAACCTTTTACAGTATTTATAAGTTATCAGTATCACTCAACAGCGTCGATATATTGTCATTATCCCTGCTTAACGGGCTATAAATATTTCTGAAACCATTTCGGCTCCCTGGGGAGTAGACAAGCCCCCCCACACTGCCATTTCAGGCAAAAACGGCTGAGCAAAACAACCATATCTGCCCTCACAGGTACCCCTTTACTCGACAGTGGAAAGAGGTACGTAGGGGTAACGTGGCATGCCAAAAGGTCGCAACATGTAACCACCTGCTAGGATTCGAACCTCAACCCTAAAGCTACAAACCCTAACCACTAAGCCACACATCTCCATGATGTAAAGATGGATACATTAAAATTTCTGTCAATAAAATTGTCTCCGATCCATCAGCCCTTGTCTCCTCAGGGAAACTCCTTCAGAAGTAATTTTAAAGGGTTCTAATCCATACATAAGTTCTCTTCTTTTTCAAAGTCACACACACACAGTTCTAAATCACTCTATCTGTTGCTTTAACACCGCTTTCTAGGAGCAATTTTCATTCAAGTTTTGAGTGCCTGAATACTCTCAACAATTTGGGTCCAACAGAGAATCTGTACACTATTTGTACAGTTTTGTATGATTATGATGGCTCATTGTTTAATTTAAAATGATATTTCATGATTCAATGTGTCGACTTTGTCAGATTTCTCCATGCTTACAGCAATTTCTTTCTGTCCTCCACTGGTAGCCAACATCCACCCCTGCATTGATGCACCTCTGTGCGTAGTCTTGGATGTGTGAGCAGCGAGCCGAGGTGTCTGGCAGTGACTTACAGACGTCAAAGACGCACTTGTCGTAGAATGGCTGGAATGGAATCACTTTGTGACAAGAAGCCAAGGAGCCTGTCAGGACAGAGAAAGAGGTCGGAGATCAACAAGAGCCAAAGTGCTCCACTGTTGGTAAACCCTCTCAGAGTTTACTTTTTGGTCACCATCCTTGCCAAACGTAGCATACGTCCATGTAGCCATAATCACATGTAACTGGCTAGAAGGTTGTACACTGCACTGACATGACTTGCTGCGTGCATTTTGCTAGAACTCTGACTATTATCTTCAATTTTTCAAAAAACAGAGCCCTGAACACACTGCTTTGGTGCGACTGCAAATCACAATTTGTCAATACGCACGGGAAAAATTCATTAATTTGTAAATGGGTTTCAACTCAGCTGAATTTCAATACCAACATTTCTCCAACTCAAATTCAGTTTGCATAGGCATGGGATCCAAGTGCCAGCCAAACTAAATGTTCCAACCTCAACAATCTAATGGTCTACATATACTGGGTAATGCTTGCTTGTCCTCGGGTATCTCCTTCCAAGCACAGATTTACACCCACATACAAAATGACACACATTTATTTTATCTGTATACCTGCAAGAGTACTCTCCAATGGGATATTCTTGATCACTGCAGGATCGTTGTAAATAACCGTCCAGAATAGAGACAATCTACAACTGATTATATTCTTTACTTTTTGAACTCCAAATCATCATTTCTGTGTTACTCCCGTATTGGTTTACTTGGTGTGTCATCTGAATTATATTATTGCTGGCAGAATTCAGGACTTACCAACGGTGTCTCTGATGGCATTGCAAGCATTATCAGCAGCAACCATCAAAGTTGAGTCTCCACCACACTGGTTGGGAAGCTCGACGGCAGCTTCACAGGTGCTATTAATAACAAACCAGCTGTTGGCAAAGTCTACTGCATCTGAAGTCTGGAAAGTATATGTGTGACCAAGAAATTACAAGTGCGTAAGTATCCTTAACGATGATGCATTTTGTGAAGGAGTATATAACTGCATTTTTTAAATAAAGGATCAACCCTTCATTTAAAAAATGGTGCATTTTGCTCCATCAAAACAGCAGGCTTTGCAATACCCCATTACCATTCTTAACACTGCTTATTTCAACAGCTTCAAGAACTTCTGCATAAAAATTTGTCTCAAAATAAAACTGAAATGCCCTGAATTTTCCAGCAAGTGATCTTGACCTTTATTTTGATGTGTCAATTAAAATTTCTATGGATTTTTCCCTGTTTTCAAATTTATCATATTTAATGCATGAAGCAAGCAAACAACTAGGACTTCAGAAAATAATGGAGATTACCAAATTGTACAAGACTTTACTCAGGATGCAAAAAACAAAGAAAACTAATTCCTCGTGCACAATAGAAGCACATTTTTTACAGAACAAGTTGGCAGATATCTACATGGTGTGACTGTTGATTCAATTTACAACCAAACCCAGGCACACGTCAATAAGAAGTACATTTCAAGTCAACATCAGCACTTGCAAATTAGATTTAAGACAATCACATGATGACACAGCGTCAATCCTGGAGCTTTTCAAAAAATTTCGGAATATGCTTCATTTCTAAACAGCTTTGGGGTTCCAAATTTAATCCTTTTTGTAAAGAAATTAACAGACTAAATTTTCCCCTAAATTTCCACACATTCATCATGGGCAAAAAAAGTGAAAGTGATGTGATGCTATGCTTTACTTACAAATTCGCCAGTCTGCTTCAAGAAATCATTTGAGTTGTTGCCATCATAGAATCCACACAGCCCGCAAACTTCACCGAGTTTGCTATGTACAAATACATCCAGATGGTTATAACCATCCCACCTCAAGACCAGGTCAAGGGTGTGGTCTATTAACACCTGTCAATTAAGATTGATATCAGTGGTAGAATAATTCTCAACTGAGCAATAACAAACCTTCATGTGGTGTTCTATAACTCAGCAAGTCAAAAATATCACGTAATGTAAAGATGCTAGTCAGCATAACTGAACATCAGTAATTTTAGACATGCTCTCCAATCTTTGTTTCTTTGTCATTTGGGGTGGACTGATTGTCCTAGCTTGCAGCATTCAGGCTGAGTCAGGCCGGACACTTCTACAATGTGATCAATCCAAAGGCACATAAAGGTGCCTTGGGCAGCTACTGAGTAACCCGTATCTATCCACAAAGCACAGAAAGACAATTGAGACTGTTACTGTTGGCATCGTAACTCAATGCAACTCTTTCCAACCTTTTCATCTGTGCTAGTCTCTTACAGAAAAACAAAATCTATAATACACTCATGGGAGTTGGCAGAATGTTTTCCTTGGGTAGGGGGAAGGAGTTGGCAGAATGTTTTCCTGGGGGAGGGAGAAGGAGTTGGCATAATGTTTTCCTGGGGGTGGGGGGGAAGGAGTTGGCAGAA